GACTGTCGACGTCGTTCCCGGGTACGCCAGGTAGTCCCAGACGCGTCGCGATACACGCTTTTGACATTAGGTGACGAAGGTGAACAGATATTGGGCCTGTCGCCCCCGAGATCCAGCGGATAACAGGAATACAGACGTTTCTCATTTCCGCGCAAGTGTTAACAAGATCCAGAAATTGTTCCCGTCCGTAGGTTTTTACGACCTTCGAGAAGTCTGCTACGTCCGAGTGGTTCGAGTTCAGCGATCGAGGTATCGGAGATCCTAATCTACAAGCATCTTGGGATCCGCGAGAAACCGTGCTTCCGAATACGAACAGAACGAAACGTCTCTAACGCAATTAGGATAACGCGGCGTTGTTTTTCCCGTCGGGAAATTTATTCGACGGTTCTCGGTTATCTAAACGCCGAGCGATGCGCCAACCTCCAGACCAGTTGAACCCCGTTGACCATTCCCAGAATAGTCAAAGGACTCGCGAGATGCTTCCAAGACGACTCGACGGTTTTTCTTGCTCGGCTATCAAACGAGTTTGACGTGGACACCGGGGTCGGTGTGTTAGTCGAGGAAAGAAAGAGCCTGCTAACGGGATAAACGAGCGATCGTGCCACTGTACTGTACAGTTCGATACGTAACGGAGAAAAGTAGTGTGCACATCGTTGCACAGGCCGGAAGAGATCGTACGCAACGGGTATGAAAAGTTTCTTGGAAACGTTCGGAGCAACGTGCATATAAAATTCGAGAAATGTCTGTCGGGCAACTAGGTGCCCGATTCGCGGAACAGGTGTTCACGGAAACAGTAAAATTCCTGGTTCACGACGCGAGAGATGCGTTTACCAATACTGCACGCAACACCGTTTCTACGCGAACTAGTAGCAAGTATGAAGACAAGCTACGCGAGATACAAAATTGATTTTAAAAAATTCTCTTGTAATTATGAATAGTGAATAAGTACACCGTAATTTAAACAATTTTTGGAATATTTAGGGTCTGTGCAAGGGTCGAGGTAGAGCATCGTCGACAGCTCAGCACCAACCGAAAAATTTCACCTTCTACCCCCAACCATCTGCCAGCGCGCCATTTCCTGCTCGGAGAGTGCCTCCTGTAATCATTATTATTCGCAGCCAAATAGCCGGTGGCTCTCTCGGCACTGATTGGCCTTCCTATCTCGAAAATACCAATTCTGCCGAGCCATACTGGCGTATTAAAGCTCGTTCAGCGTACTCAGGGTTAACCGACCGCGTTGGTATTGTTCGACGAATCGGCGGCGACAATGGATTTTGCAAACGTTTTAAAAACAGCGCGAGATGGATGGGTACAAATTGATTCCGGGAACTACAAAATTGAAACAAGACCTTCGACTATTTAACCTTAAATCGTAACACGTGTTCTTCGAGTTAAAAAATTACGACGCAACGACGATCTTTGTCCAGAGACGGAATAGAGCACGCCCTAGTATCCAGTCTCACCCCGTGCGAGTAAAACCTCGCAGCCTCCGACCGCCTAATTTAATACCAACCCTCCGTCTCGACTGCACGAAATTAGACCTCGGTGGTTGGCCATCCCCCACCGTTGACGAGATTAAAACGTCAAACGACATTCCGTAGCTGGTTCGCAGGCTGCACGCCCGCATGCAACTTCCGCCAATTACCGGCTAGCTGGCCAGAGAAAGGAGAAAGAAGAGGGTGTCGGAGGACGCACGGCGAATGCAAAGCATCGGCAAGGTCGCGATTCAGGAACGAGCCGGAGTTGCTGCTCCGTCACCTTCGCAGGTAGTCGAAAGCATCCGAGGAAGAGGATTCGACTCGAACGCGGAGAGAAAGAGACGAGCAGGAAGGCGGACAGCAGCCACCGCTCAGAGGGAGGGGAAGAGGAACAGAGACGGCCAAGAGGAGAGTAAAGGCCCCGGGCGAGGTCACCCACCGCCCCCGCCCCCTGCACTCCCCCGTACACCCTGATTACCCGCAGCCGGGGGCGGGACACGCTGTAATGAGCATCGAAGAGGTGCTCAACTTCGACTCGCTGAATTTTCCCCGTAGAATCGTAGAAAATGGAAGAAGATCGGCCATAGAGGAACTTCCGTGCACTCTTATACTGCCCCGCGAGGACGTTACGCTTCCTTCTACCTCGTTACGGAATTCGTTCTTCGATCTTATCGGAGACCGTAAGCCCCCCGATAAACGTAACGATTTAGTGTACGACTGGTCTACGAGTTCCAACTATGGCGTAATAGATCCGTACTGTTCCAAGTTAGCACCTGACACAAAACTGACGACCCGATTGATATTGGTAGAAACTGTATTGTACTTCTAAACACTGTTGCTCTTGTTAATTAAAGAATAAAGGAAATGATAGTTACTATTCGGTTTTTGTTTCTTTGAGACAATTTATGGAATGCCTATCCATTTCTCTAACCGCGTTATATGGCTAAATTATCGCCCAGCGAGTAGATCGAAGATCATCCAACGCCATCAATATTGTCCAGCCTGTAAGAGGATTTCCTAGATCTCGGCAAAAAGTGAGCCAAGTAGAAAGGATTAACACTGTACGTGCACGCAACTGCGTCAAAGAAAACGAAAGATCGTCCCGTTTAAAACCGCGTTTCTCAAACGACTCCTGGCAGTAATCGTTCTGTCGTCGGTTCTCCGGGAACGGAAGAGAGATCATCGTAAAGACAGATCGGCCGTAATACGACCTCGATCAGAAGGCGCCCGCTGAGAAGGTCGCGGGGAGCGTGAACGAAAGACGACGTAGAGGGGACAGGCTGAATACAAGAGTAGCCTGGTTGCCTGTCGGCGAAGACACCCGGATGATCGAGCGATGTTATTTTAAGTTTTCCGTGGGGGATCTCCCATCTTGTCCTAATCGGCTGTCAGCCACCCCCGTGTCTGGGGTCGCAGGCCACCCCCAGGACACGACGTGACGACGCGTCTCGCTCTTACACGTACACGCGACGCACCAACCGAACAGAGACCTTCCTGAACCGACACACAGACCCCCCGCGGACGAGATTCTCCCCTTTTGTACGAGAAGATTCGCGCGCCAGAGGAATCCCATCCCCCTCGAGGGGTTGTCGGATTCAAAACGCTTTACACTCTCATAACTGGGACCTGTTGATTCCGGCGGCGTTGAAAATCACCGCCACCCCTCGTGCGTTCTCGAGAATGTTTTACCACGTGCTTCGTCATCGCGATCGCCATCGCGAACAGGACTTCGATACTATTAATCCCCCACGAGATACGAATGTAAAGCCATAAAACGAGTCAATTTTTCCTATAGAAGTTACAAGATTTAGGGACGCATATTTCGATGAACGAATTTACAAAGCATTTCTAAAATACTTAGTCCGTCGTGACCGAGAAGGGAATTGAATATCCGTCTCTGAAGCATCCTGTATAAGAAAGATACGCCGAGTCGTTACCACCGCAGCACCGGCCGCTAGCAAAGACACGTAAGACCGTACAGCGTACGTACATCGTGCCTGAAGAGTTAATGTCTCTCTAACCGCAAATTATCCCGTGAAGATTTCATAAACGCATTTAATCGACCCACTCATGGCCGAATATCGCGGAGATTATTACGTTGCTTATGGGTATTCGAGGAAATTAGTTATCAACGCGTAACGCTCCAACCACGGGATCCCTAGTCGTTGCTAAATTTGTTACATTAGCGTCAACCCCGTTCGCGTAGCAGATAAGACGCGAGCGTAAAGCGGCCGCGTCGGCCGATAAATATTCCCGCTAGAGCTCGCTGAACCGACCAATAAAACGTATAATAAAAATTATCGCTCCGCTCGCGGCGATACCGCGACGACTCCTGAAATTCCTCCGCGTCCTCCGAAGCACGGAACGGACCGTGAAGATGAAGTCGCTCCAGGAAAGTTGGGATGACCTCGCGCAGGGTCTCTGCGGCTCGTTTGATGGACCTCCTCCGTCTCTCTCTAACCCTACGGACCCGTGGCGTCCACGTATTACCACCGGATACCCGTTTACGCCGCCAAGTTTGGTGGCACATATTATATACCTGCGGAAAGGAGGTAGAAACGCGGACGAAACCGAGAGAAAAAGACAAGATCAAGAGAGACGGACGGCTTTCTCGTCGCCAGCGTGCTTATTGCGTGATATTAGCCACGGTGGCTGCCGGGGTAATCATAATCTAGAAAGAGGGACAAAACACAGGCCCCCGAATCGCATAACGCTGAATTTTACGACTTCTGCCGCGGAGGACGGACGACCGGATGCAACGCGACTTTTTACCACCCTCTAGCCGGGCTTGATGTCAACAAGAAGATGCCCCGACCCTCGGACATCTACACCCCGACAGAACGCCGGCAGAATCGAGAAACCAATTTCTCGAACCGGGTCAGATTAACTTCTGAACACCTGTTGGAACTAGAAGACAGGAAAATCGAACGCTCGCAACACGAATTATTCGAACGAAAAGTACTCGTTTCATTGTCTACGAAATTTGTTAAATTTAATAAGTATCGTAGAGATCCAAGTCATGAACGCGTTTGAATATCCGTCTTGAGTACTCGTATGCAAAGGAGCACTCCCGTCTATGAAGGAATATCAACTAATCGAACCGTATCTACCGATCGATCGCACGGCTCGAGAGCGAAAGGACGCCGAGAGACCGTTGTCGGCGCTTTCTATCTGAAACGGTCGTTCCGAGAATCCGATCTGACTTACGCGTTTGCATAAACTGCACCACGGTTTCCAGGTAATAAAGAGAAACAGGGAAAACGAACAGGGGGGATCAGAAGAAACCGTGATCGCGACCGTTTCACCGGCCGTTACGTCGCGCGCGTTTCGCAATCGGTACGAAACGAACGGTGAACCAGCTGAATGGAAACGGACCTCGGAATCCCGGTCCCAGCGCGTAATAGGCGGCGGAGGGCATTTTTTTTCACGGAAGACACCGAACGGAAGGCTCCGCGGATATTTCTCTAGGGGCGTAAGTACGGTCTTGTAATTTCCGAGAGATTGAGATCGTGAGTCACTCACCGTAAGGTCGGTCCGCAACGGGTTCGCACGAGTCTGCAACAGAAAAGCAAAACCAAATCTTTGATAAAGGAAACATTCCCCCGCGGCGTGCGCCGAATTCTTCGTTTGTCTATCGCGCGCAATTAAACAGCAAAATTCCACGGGCAAGAATAATATCGGACGATCGTTAAAATCGAATTCTATCGGGGAATTCTAATCTTCGACCTCTCTTGTTTCTCGTTTCCCCGCGTCTTTATTCGCATTCCGCGGCCCCGTGGAAAGAGCTATCATTACGCGGACGTTCGAATTGTTTGTTCGCGACAATTCAACAACGACCGTGATCCCCCGTCCGGTAATAACATTGTAATCACCGGACGATCGGAACGACGCTCGCGCGTCGGTGCTATTACATCTTTTTCGATTTGCATACGACGGACGCTGCCGCGATAATTTGATCGCGACGGAGGTGGTATCCTCGGCTAATAAAGGCCTTGGAATATCGCGCGTCTCTGTTAAGTAATACCTCGCGCTGGCCGCGAAATTGCAAACAATTTACGCTTCGACGGGGACAATTGCACGCCGAAGGATTTCATCGATCACGGTTGTAATATCTTTATTCGGTGCTCGGTAATTGAACGCTGCGGTGAAATCGCTTCTGATGTTCGAGCACATTTATTTAGATTTCTTTTTGTGATTATTTAGCGCCTTTATTGCATATGATTGGGGTGTATTATACCCCCGGTTCAAAAAGTACTCTGAATTGTCTAGTTAACCCTTGCCCGACGAATATCGGGTTTTGTCCGTTGCCTAACATAATTTGGAACGATGCTTTCTACAGAGCTGGTAGTAACAAATTAGAAATATTAAATTACCCTTCAAAGAACAATGTTAAAACGTGGCCATTCGTTGGTACATAATAAGAAACCAGGAAACTACAGTTAGCTCGATTGACAAGTGATGGGAAAATTGTGATAAATGTACCTAAATGTGAGAATATCACGGCAAGTACAACTCATCTAATTACGGTAATATATTTTATTTTTATCCTTCCGTTCCCGAAGTACCTAATCAGAAGATCAATCAGAATGTCGGTGGAAGATTTAACGAAACAGGGAATTCGTAACACTGTTGCTACAGAAAAGCAACAACCTATATCTTGTTCGTAGATTATCTGAAGCAGCAATTTTCCACCATTGCGCATCCTTCGTGAAAGGAGTACTAATTGTTACTTCCGTATAGTAAGCGTGGAAGGTCTAGCAAGACGATGAAATCATAAATCTATCGACTTTCTGGACGATTTCCAAAACAAGCATTTAACAAATCTTTATCCAAAGAAAACGAAGGCGAAACATGGCGATTATCCGAGCTGTACTCACCATGACATTTTGATCTTTATAGAGTCCACAAACGGCGCTATTTTTTCCAACAATAATTTGAACAATTATCGTTGATAATTGTAAAGTATATGGTGTTGTGGAACAACCTGTTATATGACACAGACTCGTCGGATGATAATATAGCGCTGGTATACAACTATCGTTGCAATTCGACGTATGTACAACTTATCGTACAATAAATTACGTCTGTCACTCCTATTAGTCGTGTCTATTATTACAATTTTCCCATTGCACGTCAATTAAATAGTTATTGTTTGATTCCTTAAAGCGATACGCGTTATATGACAATTTTTTTGTTTATAAAAGCGTCAAGAACGTTCATTCTCAGATATTTTCTATTGCAACGTGCTTCGTAAAAGTAATGTTTAATCTCCGGATAGCCTCCAATCGCATTAGCAATTTTGTATAGGAGATTTTATATATCGTGTACGTAGCTTCGTAGCATGAAGACGTTCTTCTACCATCCCCCGCAACCAGAAATCGCACGGCGCAAGGTCTGAAGAACGTGTCGGCCATGTTAGAGGCTCTCATCGTGCAATTCATTTCCGTTCGAATTTCCTGTTAAGGTCGGTATAGGCAATTAGAGACAATATATACACGCAGAATTTCTCCGTACAAGGGGTAACATTTTTTTTTTTAAGCACCCTGTGGTTTCAATAATTTTCTGGGATAAGATGCATCGCGATCGAACGAGGAATCGAATTACCCGAGTCGTTGAAATCACGCGCGGCGATTCCGGATTCGCGAATCGAATGCACGCGGACTTAATTGCGATTTCGGTAACGAAAGGTACTGCGTGCCTGGGGGGCATTGGAAAAAAAACCAGGAAGTTTTAATGGTACGTTCATAGACAGCAGATGCCAGACCGACGAGATCGGCTTAGCGGGAGCTGGTAAATGTCTCACTCAAGGCGATCGCACCACTCTACTAGAAGCCGCTAGGTAGGTCATCGGATGTCATAAACGCTCGACGAAGTTTCCTCGTCGGTGCAGCGCGTGTTAATAGCCTCATTAGATATCACGGCGCAGTGACGTATACGACCGATCGTGGACCATCGACCTAAACACGTACAGGCAAGAAATACGTCAGAACCATTTGTTATCCTAACGATCTACCACTTAGACACTCCACGATAATATTCCAGACGAGGATGACCTTATAGAATATCTTTTACCCTATTGCAGTGGTCCCACAATCCACATAATCTGACCCTTTCTCGAATAGAAAAGTTTATAAATACCAAGACGATAGAGAAATTCTAATTTTAGGGTATACAGTTCCTCGGTACAATATTGTTGGGTGAGTAGAGATAAAATATTTTCGTTAAGAATTTCATTATTTTCTCGTAAAATCTTGTCGAACAGTGGCATGGCGAAGCCAGTCATCCGCGCAAGGAGCGTATAATAATGGACACAGGCAGGGTCGTTCGGCTGGCACGATCGACAGCAAAGATTAGATTCGACAGGACAGAACATTCTGCATCTGGTATTTCGACGGACCTGTCGACGACGGTATCGACGACGACAAAAGCTAGATGCTGTTGTCGACGAACGAGTACCAGTGGTCTCCAAATAACATGCAGAAAGCCTCTAAATTGTTTTTAAAATGCTTCTATTCTCTCGAAGAAATTCCAACATTTGTTACTATGAAAATATCCTTCATACTCGAAGAAAATCTTTATACGTATAGTAAATTACTATATTTTCTATGCCTAGACAGTCAAACCAATGTTTCTATACCTTGAAATTTAGTAACTCTAGTAATTAAAATTCAGGCGACATTCACGAACGAATGACATGACAGTTAATGTGATAATCCGTTCAGGAGGAGTGTCATGTATTTATGCACGGGGTAAATGTATGACGTCCGTCCTGAATAGGTTAAACGACTCCAAGAGACCTTGAATTCCTTCGGAAAAATTAATACTGTCACTCTTAAAAATTACCTTGAAGTACCTTGCAAGCAAGAAAGTACAACTAAAAATATGATTAATCCATCCCGTTCGAGTACAATTTTGATCTATGCTCGGATAAATTACCATGTTGTTAATTCTCGACTAAAGAATGCTGCGTGGGATCGCGACGAAAATTCGAAATATTTTTCCGCGTAAGAAAACGCTTTGTCCATGGGTGAAATTCGAAATCCAGCGCTCCTACGACGTTTGTTTGCCGGGATAATCACGACGGAGCGGCGTTGTATTCTAATATTTCCCGTGAACCGCGCCGCGGCGCGCCATCACGAATTCTAATTCAGTCGCCGGTCGTCCTGGGCCCTGGAGGTGCCAACGGGGTCGCACGCGATAGTCGATAAATATTAAACGACTTTCCACCTGCCTGGTCGTGGCCGGTGCTCGGCTGCGTTTCGAGTGGCGGGGGAAGGAGGGACTTCCGAGAGGGAGATGACTGAATGTTAATTAGCGAGGCGTGACAAGTGTTAAGTAATCCATCCATCTAACCGCGCGCAAAGAGGGAGGAGCCCGCCTAACGCTCGGTAATTAACGCGACACACACCGCCACGCACCATCGACCGACGCTCGTCCTCCGCTAGTCGCAATTAGCGGCCGATTTAACTGTTAACCCCGGTTGGTCTGGAAAGTGAAACGGAATTTCGTGCCCCCTCGTGTCCCCGGAAGTCGAGGCTTCGCTTTCGCGGGACCTAACTGTACATCTTCGGGCGATCCATCACTCGATGACAAGTCTATCCGTTGCTGCGTTCGACAACGCTACCGAATCTACACGATTCCTTGCTTTTTCACTTTCCCGATTATTCGTGACCGTTGTCTCGTTTATTTCATTTTATTTTATATTTCTTCGTTCGAAGCTTGTCATTATAGAATAGCCCCGCTCTTATTAAAACATTCTTCTGTAACGATGAAAACTAATTCCATCATAATTTCTCATGAAACTGAGAGTGTATCTATAACGCGTTGATCAATGCAAATGGATACATTTTTAATTACAAAGTACGTGGAAGGAAGTGGAATAAATTTAGCAGCAAATTGAATTTTTCTTTCTGACTTTTTAAATTACCGCGCGCGGCTAAAATCACTGTTGACGATCGCTGCTATGCGGAGATGTTTCGTGCAACGTTAACTTCGTATCGTCGTGAGCAATGGATCCGTAACTTTCGGTGCACCATGGTCATTCACCGAACAGACATGACTGGGCGTTTCTAATCGAGAGAGAGTTTCAGCTAAACAAAAATTGATCGTACGAAGTTTCGTCACCGTAATTCAAGGCTATTGTATAACTGAAATTGCTTTTTACTGTTTCGGAAGAGTGTTGTAATTAGCTGTACGATTCGAATCAGAGTATTAACCAATTACAGAAGAGCGTTTATTAATCGAGCTTCTGTTATTTGAACGTTTTATTATACAAACGAAGCATTTCCTCGTGAAATATCATTTATAGAACATCTTCATAGAAAGCGATCGTGATCATCATAATTTAGCATAAAACCTAACAGCTAACGTGCAACCTTTCTAATATTGTTTTATACTTCCTACTTTCTGCATTTAAAAATGTAAATACGCTCTTTTTTGTAACTTGAACAGGTACGTGTTGGGCGAAGCTATATCTCTGCTCCAAGTTAAGATAGAAAAATCCATAATACAATTACGGATGACTTCGAGCAATAATACGTACTAATTTAAAAAAC